CCATGGTTTGAATGAAATGCGTGTTCAGATGCTGCAGGTTCTTAAAGCAACTTGATTCCTGACCCTCCACCAGGGCCTTAAGTGAAGTAGTCTCATTGCAGACTCTGGGAAAGGGCATCCTTGCTACTTTGGCAGGACAGAGGCTTCTGGAGGGGACACTACCTCCTGACCAAAGCAGACCGAAGATCCTGGCCATAGATGATGCCTCAGTTTCCCCCTGCTTCTTTACAGTCACCCAACCAGGGAGAGAAGGGGTGAAGTCAGCACAGCTGCCCATTCCCCAAAACACTGCAACGCCTGGATGAGGGCTCAGTCTGCATCCAAGACCAGAGCCATAAGAGAGGGAGATCCAGCATCACCCGAGACGATTATGTAGCACCATTTTCAGTCGCTTGCGAAGAGCATCTCAGACAGACACAACACAACAGGGTCACAGAATAATTTTCCATGACCTCCTGTCAAATGGGAGTCAAGACATTATCAAATATCTTCTGTTTAGAAACAGTGTAAGCGTCCTGTTGGCAAGGAAACAAATAGAAGCAAGTAGATACGAACTCAGCTAAGGCCTGGGCATACCCACACATACATTACAACCAAGTGCCTAAGCTGGCTTTTAGGGAACCTCCAGGATCCACTCAGACTCAGTATGAAACCAGCTTTTCAAGAATCTGCATGCACAGAAGAAACCTGACCGCCTGGTTAATGACTTTTGAATGTCACGAGCTCAAAATTCCCTATGCAGAACACGACAGCTGCCCCTGAAAAGGAAGATGGGACTTGTGAAGAGGAGTAATGACTGTCTGTACCTGTGCAAAAGACCCTAAAATAGGGCCCAGTGCAGCGTAATGACACAGCGCCTGACACCCACAAACCTCTGGGTTGGATCCCCAGTACAGCCTGCCCCCCAATAACACTTTCCCTTCCTGGCGCCCCAATCAACAAGCAACATTGCCCCTACTGTTTCCTATAATTCCCCCTCTGCTGCCAACCAATGGCATATGGATGTGAGCTTTCTTTTTTCTCTCCTTTTGCCTAACTCCTTGATGGTCCATCCTCCACGATAATTTTTTTTTCTTTTTGCCAAAATCCAGTGCCACAGTACTGGCTTCTCTGAACACTGAGCAGGGATCCCTGGCTCAGATTCTAAGACCTTTGAAAGTAGGCTGGGCACAGTGGTACAGGCCTATAATGAGGCCAAGACAGGAGGACTACAGCAATCTGAGGTCAGTCTGGGCTACATAGTAAATTCGAGGCCAGCCTGCACTGCATAGTGAGACCCTGTCTCAAAACACACACACACACACACACACACACACACACACACACACACACCAATTGTTTTCTAAACAGGGTAACAGTTCTAAATGAAGGTGGATGCATCAGGGCCTGAAGCCTTATGGAGCAAAAGGTGCGTTTCCCAAGGATTTTCTTCTTTACAAAACAGCACCTAAAAGGGACCGGAAGTTCTATTTTGAAACAATCCACTTGTGGTTAGAATTTCTACACCTCTGGAAAGACTTGGTCCTTCAGAAGGGCCACGACATTACAGCACTTTAGTTGAAGCTAAGACAGATTCTTAGCTTCTACGAGACCAGCCCTAGTGGGGTGTGTGCCTGCAACAATCTTTTGGGCATGAGAATTCATTTCAGTACCCCTGCCTGTCTTTTCTAATCCATCAAGTGGGAAGCTTGCTATCACCTTGTTGCCCGAGAAGTAATGAGGAATAACAGTCAACTATAATGAACGAGCCTGGGAGGAAATTTGCAAATGTGCTGTCAAAATGCTCAAGCCTAGGACAGATTTCCCTGGGCTTGAAGTTCCCCCAAGTTAGAGAGCAATTTGTGCAGCCTGTCAGTGAGGAAATGGCTGGGGGGCTGGAGCCCTGGGTGGTCTTTCCTGCTTGCCTGTCTGAGTGGTGTCACCATTTAGGATTGATTTATGGCACTCGGAGTGGCCGGCAAGCCTACTCCACGCCAGGGCTGAGGCTGGGGGCCGCCCGGGCCTGCATCTATCATCGGCAAAGCCAAGATCATTTGCAAAGTCAGAACCATTTGGGGTCCACGGAGGGTACCCGCGGGAGCACGCGGAATGGTACTGAATCCGAACTCACTCTCCGGCTCGCTCACGTGACAAATCACGTGGTGCAGTGACGAAGAGAAATGAAGACAGCTGTTCCCCTCTGCACACATTCCGGTTAATTTCCCCCAAGCAAGCACAAGTAATGCAGGTCGGAAGCACAGAGTTGTCCAGGGTGGCAGATGAAGAGGCAGTGAGGTTTTGTGTTCTGGAGGTGGGGGAGGGCCAGGAATATGGAGTTGGATTTTCTGTTTTTTTCCTGAAAGGGAGCAGGAACAAGGAGACACTGAACAGGCTAGAAACTTTCCCTTCTCTAAGGAACCTAGTGCAAAGACAGGGCCCAACACCCTGAAAGGTGTTTAGTATGCTAACAAAATGCTGCATAATGTGGCTTCAGAGAACGGAATTGATAAAAGAAACCTGGGCCACCCCGCTGTGCTGAACACCCCTGCTGCGCAGAGCTCGGCAACTAATATATCACAGAGCTTGATAAGCAGGGAGTGGCGGCCGCGCAGGCTCCAACTGCCAAGGTCTCTAAAACTGTGGAAAGCAGTGCAGTTTGATCCCGCTACCAGTTCCAGGCATTTTGAGTAAATCTCTCTCTTACCTTTCTATGCCCCCAAAGTGAACAGTTTCTAGTTGATTAATCACCTTGTGAATGGAATGTGCAGACACCAAACACTGGATATCTGCTGTGGCTAGGTTCCGAGAAGATGTTAGAGCTGAGGCCCACAGTGATGGGCAGTAAGGACCAAGTGTTCTGGCCAGGAGACACTGGGGAGCACAGAACTGGCTGGCTGGCCAGGCCAGCGTGCCTCTTGGCTCTGAGCAATGGGCCGCCCGCCAAGCTCTCTTGAGGCAGGTCAGGCAGGGCAAGGGCAGCTGACTCGAGCCCTGTGCCAGTGGTCCAATGGCTCAGCCAGGCCAGGCTCCCGCTGGTGGGGGGACAACTCCATGAGTGGTCTGCAGATGCAGCATGATAAATGTGTGCTTGCGGAAGCCAGCAGCACCGCTCAGCATTCGCTCCAGGCAAGAATGGAAGGGAGAGGGCACCTAGAACCAAGCAGCAGATGTCTGTGGGCCTGGTTAGTGGGCATGTGGCTGGTGGGTAGGGCTAGCTGATGTTCGAATATATTTAATTTCACAAGAGACCCTGAACTACTACTTAATGTTTTCCTATCTGTTTCTAGTAAGACCCAACTCTAATAAAAAAGAAGTTATTTTATATAAATTAAAATAATGCGACATGCTTACATTCATCCAACTCACTCACCATCAATCTAACAAATACGTACTGAATTCACAAAGGTGTGCTATTCTTCAGGAAATATGAGCTACACAATTAAAAATATAAACTCAATGACCTCATTGTAAGGTGGCATTTTGAATTTTACATCACTGTGCTCTAAGTTATCACCGTTCATAGACATGATCTTATTTTATGGAAACCGGCTAGGCCCAGCAGCTCTTACACCCTTCTTAAGGTCTTTGCCCTTGACAGTCCCAGAGCAGACTGACCTTTTTTATGCTTTGGTTATTTTGAACTCACAGGTTGAGCTCATTCAAAAGGAGAATTCACAGAAAATGAAACTTCATAAACTTTCAACTTGAAATTTTTTCTTACAGAAAACAATCTTTATGTGGGTGAGAAAACCATTTCTGGGTTTCTCCAATTAGGGTTCCAAATTTCAAGAACTAAGATCGACAGGATTATTCTCACCATGTAATCTCCTGAAGTCAGTCTTAGTGATGGTCCTCTTGGTGGAAAACACAATAACATCACAGGTCTTTTGGGTTTTTCAGGGGTGGCAGGGTGGGTGTTCGGCATCAACTAACCATAGAGTGAAGAGCTCAAGGGTGCGTTACAGAACAAACTGCCCGAACTCCCTATGTTAAATATTTTGCATCTTACAAGATTTTTCACAGATTAAAAAAAGATTCCATGCCCATATATTTACTTAACCCTCCTGACAACTTTGCAAGGCCTTATTTCTATTTAAATAGCTGAGAAGAGACCCAATGAGGTAGATTCCACCAGGTTATCATTACTGGGTTTTGACCACAGCGTTCCAAAGTCTGGAAAACAAACTTCCACGTGTGTTCTGTCATTCTGAGTCTCACCTCCCTGTGATGTTGATACGATGTACAGCCCTGACCCTCACATATGATGAGCGCAGTGTAGATGGCTCACACGAGACACAGTGGGGCCTGGGCAGGGGCCTGGGCAGGGGCCTGGACACCAGTAAGCGCTCACTGCGGGGTCCATGGGAAGGCTGAGCCGGGTGACGGTGGTGAGGAGTGGGCCAGTCTTTGGCTATGCTAGACACAGAGGCAACTCTAATGTCATCATTTCGGGGCAGTGACAGAAAGAGGGAAAAGATGTGTATGTGGAACAAACATTTTTACAGGACACTGCATGGTGATTCTCTAGGCTATGTAAGTTCTCCTAAGTAAGGATCCAGCAAACACACGGGATGCCTGTAGTAACCGTGCAATACTGGCAGTCATGGTTACACTAAAAATTTTTGTTGTTTATCTGAAGTTCAAATGCAACTGGGTACTCTGTATTTTTATCAGTTTGATGCGGCAGCCTTACTCTTAAAAGAAAGATATCAGCCAATCTTTGGCCTCTTGCTTATATCACCATCAAAGAGACACACTAGTAGAATGCTGGCAATTGAGGTAACTTCCTACTTCTTAGCAGCCTAAAATTAGACCTGGAATGAATTTAAATATTTCCAAATTTGCCAATTTAGATGATGATGCAGCACACAACTGCTAGCAAAAGTTGGTCTCTGGCACTGAACCAACGCCGTGGTCCTCTTTGCCACACCTCTCGCCAGGTGGTCCTGGACTGCAAATCCTCATCCAGCTCAGGCCCCATGCTTACCCGTCTGGTTCTGCTGGTGGAAAAAGCCACTTACTTGTATGGGATGTGTTTGCTGCCATTGACGAGAGCCAGGATGACATTGCCCAGAGCAGACAGTGAGAGGCACAGCCCTGAGCCTCCTTCTCGGTTTTTGCTAAGAGCTTTCACACAACTGCCAAGATCGATGAGATGCAGGCGGCTGCGACCTCCAGACACTACCACGGGAGAGAAGACAAGAGGAGAAAAAATGGGTGAGTTTTGGCAAACACTTCTCTGTTCTTCATGCAGCTCTTTGGAAAATCTGAGGAAGAAGGAAAAGAGGAAGTGAAAGGTTAGAGTTCATGATATTACAGGCAATCCCAACAAGGTCACACTGGGGTTACAAATAGCACTGATCCTCTTAAATTCTGTGCACCACACACCCAAGACCTTCTAACAACTACTGACATTTATATTATAATTATGTGGAAATTCCTGTAGGTTAAATGGGATGAGATTTCAGAAAAGGCAGTGTATAATTCAAGGAAGATAAGGTCTGGACCTGAATGTCCTCCAGGTAGGGAAAATCTGAGATTCATCAAGTTAAAGCCCGAATGGCCATGAGCCATTTGGTTGACTGTCATAAAGACCTCAGCCAAAGCTCAGACAGGAACAGGTTGATAACCCGAGGTAACATCAGAAAGATATAAGGACCAGGTGCAGAGACAAGGAAGTCCCAAATACTTGCTGAGTAGTTGCCAATCGCCAGGTGCTATGCAAACATCATTCTCATGGCAAAATTATAAACTAAATGTTATTATCCTTTTTTATAGACAAGAATATAAAAATTCAGAAAAGCCAAGAAATTAGCCCAGGAATATCTGTTTCTGGCCTCAGTGAAATAAGGACTAGACTGATCTTATCTGAAACAACTAAAAAAATGAAGACAATGTCAAAAACAACTGCTGGAAGACACTCACCATCAGGGTGCAAAGGACAGTGATCCCTAAGAGATGAGAAACAGGCAAGGCAAACACTGCCTGTATCTCAATAGGAGTCTCTGCTTTCAGAGAGTTTCCAGGCCATGGCTCAGGGAGAAGGGAATGAGGTGGAACTTGGTTGATTCCCTGAACTGAGGAGATAGCACTGAAAGTCCAGAAAGACCAAGGTGGCAGCAGTTTACAGGGCAGGAGAGAATTCTGGAGATTTGCAGAAGGTCCCTTGAGAATTCAACTGAGCAATGAGCAGCACAGGCCTGGGAGGAAACCATCCACAGCTAGGGAATTATCTATCTGAAAAGAACAGTGGAGGGAGGGCACAGTACTGATATAAGGCCAGGAATAATACCAGTTCCCAACAGCCAGAGTGGAAAGACTCAAGATCCAAAGGATATTGGGTAAAATACCCAGGAGGTTTTGCTTCAGAAGTGGGGAACCTTTAGCCATAGCCAAGCATTGACCTGGTCGCACCTAACACACACACACACACACACACACACACGTATCGGGGAGGTTGAGACAGAATCTCTCTGTGTAGTTCAGGCTTGCTTCAAACTTACAGCAATCCTCCTGCATCAGCCTCCCGAGTGCTGAGATTACAGGCATGTTCCATCAAACCCAGCTTTACCTAACAAATATTAAAAGCAAGACCAGAAAGGATCATACTGTTTCCAAGTAACAATCACATCTCAAAACAAATCCTATGAATATTTACAACACCCAACAAGGTAAATCCAAATGTCTGGTACACAAATCACAACTAATCAGGCATGTAAAATAGCAGGAAAATGAACCCCATAATAAAAGAAATTATTGGAACTAACCAAGAATGAGAATATGTTAGAAATGACAGAGAAATTACTGTCAATAAAACCATTAACTAAAATAGGTACTACAACTCTTTTCAAATGTTCATATAGGATATATAGGTTTTACAAAGATACACTGGACCTCTAGAGATGAAAATTACAAACATGTGAAATGAAAAATGCACTCAGTAGACTTAAAGGCAGATTACACATGATAGAAAGAAAAATTGGTAAATTTGAAGGTTTAGCAAGATAAACTCTTCAAAATGGAATATAGAAAGAAAATTTAAAAACAAAAAACACATAGAAAAAAAGAGCTGTAGGACAACCTCAAGTGTCCAAATTCATGTGATTAGAATTCCAGATGAAAGAGACAGAGTGTATTCCAGGTGAGATATTTGAAAAAATAATGGCTAAAACTTCCCCAAATTTGATGAAAACTATAATCCCACAGATCTACAAAACTCAATCAGCCCCAAGCACAAGAAATACAAAGAAAACTACACTGAGGCACATCATAATCACAGTGTTGAAAACCAATGATGAAGGAAAAAAGAACACAGAAAGAGCTGGAGAGATAAAAACATATTACATATAAATGAACAGTGGTAAGTATGATACCATATTTCTTGTTGGAAATAATACAAGACTAAAATGCAAACACAAATGGGCACCAGAAATGTTCAACATCATCGGTCATTCCTGAAATGCAAGTGAAACTCACAGTGAAATACTACCACATCTCTACGAGGTAAAATACGAAGATTCAAAAGGCTGACCATACCAAATGTCGGTAAGGATCTGGAGGATCTAGGACTCTCATACAGGGACATAAAAATGGCACAGGCACTTTGGGAAAGAGTTTGTAAGTCTTAAAAAGTTACATATACATCTATTACATGTCTGAGCGTTGCAGCTCAAGGTATTTTCTACCTCGTGCAAAAGAATACACACATACATACCAAGACTTGTACATGGCTGTTCCTACTACCAGTACCATTATAGCCCCCAAGGAAACAATACAATTGTCTACCAACAGCTAAATGGAGAGGCCAAGTGTGGCATAACAGACAACGGACCACTACTCAGAAATATAAACAAGAGAGCTACTGACAGGGACCGCAACATCGCTGAATCTCAAAATAATTACATGAAGGGAAAGAAGCCACACAAGAGTACAGACAAATGATACGATGACATTAATATAAGTCTAGGAAATGCAAACTGATATATAGAAACCCAGCAGGTCAGTAGTTGCCTGGATGCAGGGAGAGGGCAGGAAGTGGGGTTGGAAGGAGGCAAGACAGGGTCCCAAGAAAATGTCCCAAGGGTGAGGGATATGTTCATTCTCATTATACACCAATAGCGTCATGATTGTCAAATAACACAAATAGGCAGTTTATTGTTATCTCTAGTAGATCTCATTAAATCTGGTTTTTGAAAACAGGAGCTTGCCAAAGACCATAGAGCTGGAGAGCTAACATTGAACACTGATGCAGCACCAGCGTTCTTTCTCCTCAGCTGGCCTCGGCCGGCTCCTGACACAACAGGAGCTGCTAGAGAGCCTTCTGGTCCCCAGCCTGACTTCTCCAAGCTGTGTGGCCCTCAGCGCATCACCCAGTCCTCTGCCACCATTCCTGGTCTCTGATCCCCAGATGACCCGTCTTTCACCATCTTACCTGTTGCCTCTACGTCAGCAAGTCTCCCTCTGCCTTTCCTTACTCTGTACAGAAGAAAAAGAGCCAAGGCAGAAAGCGAAACTTCCCCAAGCTGTTGTAGATGTCAGGTAATTTGGGGCCAGGAGAAAGGTATGGGTAGAGAAAACTCCTCTGGGGGTGGGCGATGATGTGTCTGGGTCTCTGGGGCTCTGTGGAGGGGGGTCTCAGGCAGTGCTGGGCTGTGCAGGGTTTGGGTGCTCCCATCTGCAGGAGCCCAGATGAGAGCGCTGCTGCGGGGGTCTGAGGTGCTGTGTGTGCTGCAGGATGAGACATCTGGGGACTCTGTCTAACCCGGATCGGCACATCTACTACTGAGAAAAACCGTGATGAGTGCTTACAGAAAGCACAGCATTACAATGCAGGCTGTCTAGTTTTCCCAGCCAGGGCAAAGAACTTTTCACATTAAGAAAGTTAATTTTGTTCATTTTCACTTATGCCCACTGCAATCCCTTAAAAGGGAAGATATGATATGTTACTTTTCTTTCATCTCATTTTATATCATGCAAGATCAGGTCAAAGCAGTGTGCTAGGGAAATAGTTATTTTTAAAGCAAAATATCATCTGCTTTGCAGCTTAATTATATAGACAGGAGAAGCTCAGATATTCCACACATACTTCAGATGAAAGGGCAGAGGCAGAGACCAATTTGAACTCTCAGACTCTTAATAGTCCACTTGATATAATGGAATAAAATGCAGAAAGTACATGTAGTAAAATAGAACACAGAGAACAAAAGGCACAGTTTAGACTGTGCTGAAGAATATTATAAAATACCTATAATTATAACTGCATGACTCATGTTTACCCAATGGATAATCTATTCTCTGCTTTAGACTCATTGGAGTTCCAGGAGACACAGAAGTCTGAATTTTACACTTGGGGTGCAAAGTGAGTGAGCACAGCCCATTTGCTTTCATCAAGAATTCACATCCCTGAAAGTGGCTGGGGAGAAAGTGGTTCTACACTGAGCAAAGGAAATAGATGCTAATTAATAGCCGCTAAGAAGCAGCTCCTCATTGACTTTTCAGATTCATGAAGTCAAGGCCACAGGGCTAAAGGACCATACCTCAGTCTGCCTTGAATGATCCTTCATTTAACAAATCTTTTGTAAATAAGGAGGGGAGAAGGGGTTGAGGGGAGGGGAGTGGGGAAAAGAAGAAGCAAGATATATCATGTAGAGGTACAAATTCCCTAAGGAATGTTGCGTTATGTATATCTAAAACGTACCAATAATAAAAAATAAGATTTTTAAGTCTAGACTTGGACCAAACCAAATGACCCCATGCTCTATTCTCTCCAGAGGATGTAACGTATTAATTGTATGGATTCCTGAGCTGTGCTCACTGAGCACCTGGTGGATCCCAGGAAACACTAAACTCTCCTAATATCGCTTACTCCCTGCAACGATCCTGTAACGCAGGAATAAGCCCCATTTTATAGATGACAACACCAAGGTTCAGAGATGTTTAGTGAATGGCCCCAGAGCTAACTACAAAGCACACAGTTCTTTCCACTCATCTTGCCTTATTTAAGTGGTTTACAAACTGCAGCACACTGGAATGAATCACTGGGACCTTTGAAGAAATCCCAGGTCTGGCTCTGACTCCCACGCTTTCTAATTTAACTGGACCAGAGTGCAGCATGGCACTGGGATTCCTGGAAAGTTCTCTAGGTGACTCTAATGGGCTGCAAAATGTGGGAACCACTGTCT